TCTGGCTCTTACCAAGGATACGACCTTAAATAGGAATGTTTGAAGATTTAGGATTAGGATCGTTAGGTTGTTGTTTGGACCGGGGTGGTAATTTTGTTCCTGTTGTGCGTTTTGTAGGTTTGGGTCTTTGTGTGCGTCTTGTCTTAGCACACTTTTCTTACCCTTTTGTTTGCTCTTTGATCTTTTGTTGTACTTTATGTTCTCCGTGTTGCTTGAGTTGGGGGTCTCTCGGAAACAGCCTCTCTACTTTTAGTAGGGGTAAGGTCTCCGTACACAGAGCCTCCACGGACCTGCTGTTGCGGGACTCTACTAGTTTGTTGTTGTTGTTGTTGTTGTTGTATTTCCGGTTACTTGTTTAATAGCTCTCCTAAGCGTGTTTAACTTATTGCCACTGGTCGTTTTCATTGGTGGATTAATGCTTTGCAGTCACAAGATGAGCATCAGCTTAAGTCTTTCCATAGGAAGGCTGAGGTGAACCATGAAATTCAACAGCTTAAGTCAAAGATGCGTGATTCACAAGTAGGTTTCTTACATGGGAATTTTCTTTTCTTTATGCCACACATTATTAGTTGAAATGCTTCTTACAAAAGAGGCAAATGCTGTTTCATTTCAAACCTCTTGCTTGTGTTGAAATTCTTGGTTTATGCTTCGTAACCCTTTTTAATGTTAGGGTGGATATGTCTTATTCTTGATACATATTTTTAAATTGGATATGCATTACTATGGGGGTTAAAGCTACATAGGCTTTCTTAGAGTAATCATGTTCTGAATGCGTTTCTGCAGAACTCTTGATGCTACTGTTTTCTGGGAATTATCAATAACATTATTTTTTTAGATTATCAACTTGGTTGAAACATTCTTTTCGAAATTTCAGCTTCAAAAATTTAGGGATGAACTTAAAAATCGCTCCCGTGTCCTTAAAAAACTGGGTCATATTGATGCTGACGGGGTCGTTCAATTGAAAGGAAGAGCAGCATGCTTGATAGACACAGGGGATGAACTCCTTGTTACTGAGCTAATGTTTAACGGTAAAGCTTTTATCTTGACCTTTTTGTGCTAGAGACTTGCAATTGCAGTATGATGCATGAATCTCTTCCAGGCACATGTCAAAGGAAATGAGATTGTCTGAATTCTTCATTTTTGGCTGTGGATGTCATCTGTTGCTTGGATCTCTCTCTCTCTCTCTCTCTCTCTCTCTCTCTCTCTCTCTCTCGCTCGCTCCCTCTCCCTTCCTCTCTCTCTCTCATGCTGTTTATTTATGATCTTATGACCATATGTTCCTGCTTCAAATGTTTCCATTACATGAACTTCAAACTTTCATATGTAGTATAAACATCTATTGCTTGTCTGTATGACCATGTTTTACATTATACTATATCTGTACCTTGGATTGTTAGGTCCATTGTCATCTACTATTAACATGTCTTATGTATTTTCTGGTTATATCTTTGATGGAATCTTAAAGTGGTTTATCAACTTGTGTTAAAGCAGCTGTGAATTATTTTATGCTCAGGTACTTTCAATGATCTTGATCACCATCAAATTGCGGCATTGGCAAGTTGCTTCATTCCAGGGGACAAATCAAATGAACAGATTCACTTAAGAGCCGAACTTGCCAAACCGTTACAACAGCTACGGGAAAGTGCAAGAAGAATAGCAGAGGTCTGCTGAGTTAGGGACTTGATTCTCTTTTTTCTTGATTAGGAATTGTGAAGTTTGATGAGAGCTTTGTCATTTTGCAGATCCAATATGAATGCAAGTTGGAAATTGATGTAGAGGAATATGTGGAAGCATGTATTAGGCCATTTTTGATGGATGTTATTTATTGCTGGTCAAAGGTGAGTCAATCCTTTGTTCCAAGTGACACTAGTGGTTTTGCATTACTCAGTTCTAACTTGTTATGACGTTCAATTGGGATGCACATATCTAGTTAGTGCTTCAAAGAGCAAGTTGCAACCATTTCTTAGAGTTTACTATCTATATAAGGCATATTGTAGAGTATAGATGCTGGAGTTAGATTCTTGTATTTCACTTTCCAAACAGAACAAATGTTCATTTGAGTTTTTTTCCTAAAAAATCATCTCCGACGTATCTGCCTTGGAATCAATAGTGGAAAATGCTGATATGTTGCAATGCCCCAACCAGGCAGATGTCATAATTGCAATTTTATATATTAGACATTATAATATTAGAATGCAACACATTTGGTATCAATGCGGCAATGGCAATGATGGCTATATCTGCATATAAGTAAAAAAGACAAGAAACAATTGTGTTTGAATTGCATGGGTCTGAGAGGACTCAAGTAAAAACAAAGCTGAAACATCACCTCGAATGTATTATTAATTTATTATCCTACATCACAAGGCTATTATTGCTATATTCTAGTTATTACATATTTGCATATGACTGACTTGTGATTGTGAGTCGAGGGTATCTTGAAAACAGCCTCTCTACTTCTGAGTAGGGGTAAGGTCTACATAGACACAGCCTCACACACCCTACTTTTTATGTGGGATTTTACTGGATTTGTTGTTATCTGACTTGTGATCGCATATCAGGGAGCATCATTTGCAGAGGTTATACAAATGACTGATATCTTTGAAGGAAGCATAATACGGCTAGCACGAAGGCTTGATGAATTTCTGAACCAGGTAAATATCAAATTAACCGAAGTTGAACACTATGGTTGTTATATTAATTTTTTTTTGTGAGTGGATGTTGTTGAATATGATGAAAAAAAACCTTTGTTGGGGCAAGCCTGAGACCAACCAACCTGGGCTCATTAAAACTGTACATCTGAATTCTGAACGTTCAACATGTTACCTACCTCGGTTTTTGTGCAGTTGAAGGGTGCTGCACATGCAGTAGGAGAGGTTGGGTTGGAGAGCAAGTTCATTGCAGCCAGTGAAAGCCTGAGACGAGGAATAATGTTTGCAAATTCTTTGTACCTCTGAAACTGCAGCATTATTAAGCAGAAGATCATCTCTTCTGAAGCACATTTGTGATTTGAGCAGGGAGCAACTTTGTCCCAGCAAACGAGGTTTGGTTATTCTGTTACCGCTGCGCGGTTCCATAGTCTAACATCCACTTAATGATCTACATGCAATTTTTGTTGTAGGAGCAACCAAAGAGTAAAAAAAATTGTTTTTTTTTGTAAAGACAAGATGAAATAGATGGTACAAAGGCAGGAGTTGATATATTGTATTCTTTGAATGAGTTAGATATTTTGTCAGCAAAAGTCTGAAATTCTTGAATGGAACTAGTGTACATATAAGAAACATTAAGCTTCTAATATAAGAAATAAATTAGTGCAAGGATAAACAACAATAAAGCAGCAAAAAGTGTGGTCTAGGGAGGGTGGTGTGAATGTAGGTAGACCTTATGCCTACATAGAAAGTAGAGAGCTTGTTTTGAAGAGACTCCTGGCTCAAAACAAAGAAAACATAGAAAGACAAGTAAAGAAGCAAACAAGGCGCAGTGCTAAAAATGTTTTAACAAGCTAGGTAGACTAAACCATGTCTTACATAGTACAGTATGAGTAAGATGATTTACTGGGCATATCAGACTGCCTTTCCAGCACTCTATGAAATTTTTATAGTTCATCACAGTTATGAATGTATTGCCATGCACAGAAGGGGTATTCATAGATCTTTATAACGGGAACCACCACTTCTATGAACCTTGTTCACAAGTTTTTTGCATTTCAGATGCACTAACACCGAGCATTAGTTCACAATGTGTCATGCATAATTCATCACCATCTGCTTGGGAGTCACCAGCAATACATTCCCCAGTTTGTTACCATATGAAATAGTCCTTCCCGACCTTCCGTTTAAGTGTATTTGTCTAGTTTGACTTTTTTGAATTAGTATCAGTTACTCTCAATTTGTATTTGAATATTAATACGACAAAATAAAAATTTAAAAACTCTTAACAAGATAAATCTAAGGCATGATTTGCATTCTAATATGCATTCTGATTTTTATTAAATTGGACTCCAAAGTTTGTCCAGTTTAACTTGAAAAAGTCAAACTGAATAAATACATTTGGACAGGGATAATAGCTTGAGAATTCAATGTTGTTGCATTGGTGGAAAAGCTTTACACACTCTGAATACCGTTCTCTACAACAATAAAGACAGGGTAGCCTCACATGGGTGATCCCAGGTTTTGCACAGATACGCATTGATGATAATTGTTTGTGCGACATAGACGATTATCGCCTGTGGTTTGTGCGAAACCTGGGGTCACCTATTTGGAGTCTCATATGTGGGGTCAACCACGTGGGATAATCCTAGCACCGGTCCCGAGCCCCAAAACAAATAGAGGAGATGTTTTTTCCACCAATGCAACAAAAAATGCTACAACAGACTGGGAAAAGATGCTCCAAAGTTGTGAAAACACTTTAGAAATAGTAGGGGTGCACACAAGTAGACGTACAGCTTGTGATTTAGGTTGTCCCGATCCTGTTCTCGAACAGTTAAAACAGATCAGAATGGTCTCGACACGAAGTTGTACAATTTTGTCTTGTTCAATTCGCGCAAAAAAAGTGGTGCAGGATGTCATAATCCAAAAAAAAAAATTACCAAATGAAAACATATACCCCGTAATTTAGCAAGACGTAAACTATATACTCCGTAAAACATAATTCCAAAGTTGTATACAGACATGCTTAAATAAATATGAAAACAAAGACGGGTAAGATCTACATACAAATGCAAACATTCAAAAACAAAAATCGAGTATGCTATCCATAAGAAATAGGACAAAATGAATTGTGTTCGTTTTTGCAAAAAAAATAAATAAATAAACTTCGAGTGTATTTGTTACGGAGTATTTATTTTAAAAATGAGAATAAATTTGTTATGGAGTATTTATTAAAAATATAAGAGACACTGCATATCATAACTCAAGTCGAAAAAAAGAGGGAAAAGACTTGGTGGGTAGAGATGCATGGAGAAAAAATAAAAAATAGGACACATGTTTTTTTTTTTAAAAAAATAGGTTCAAAATTTATTTAAAAAGGAAAAGAAAAATAAAAAACATGATAAGGCCAAACACCCCAAAAAATCCAGCGACCTGCTCAACCACGCCTTGTCGGCACCGCTAGCGGCGCCGCCTCCCATGCTGTCACCAATGTCTCACCCTTGTCGCCGTCACTTGAATCTTAGTTGTCACAATTTGTTGCTTAAATCCAATCTATTGTTGCCACCAACAATGACATCTCCCGCCTCTATTGTATTCTGTCATCGATGCCAACACCACTTGTGTCTGCTTTGTCAAAGGGCAGTGACTATTAAGAAAAAATTATCAATATAATGCCAATAATAGCCACCATGTTGAACAATTCTTAAACATAAAATATAAATTAAGGATTTAATCATGTGTACCTGATAATCCTGTAAACGCAGTTAGGGATGAGGCCATGACTCTTCGAGTTCCCGTTTAGGGTGTATTGTTATGATGGCTAAGGTGAGAATGACTCACGAGAACAGAGAGGCAGAGAGGAAGCGTAAGATTGGTGTGTTGATCTCTGCCTAATGACCTCTATTTATATACACCCAAGGGGAAACCCTAATTAGGTCATAAGGGTAATTACGTCCATCGAATAATTACCAAATAAATACGTAGGGTATTTATTAGGTCAATGATCAATTAATTAGATAAGTGATAACTCAGGCCACATAATAAAAACGTGTCCAACATTCTCCCACTTGGCCGAGTAATCATTTATGATGAGTATTAGATAAGTCTGATCAGATTTTAATACTCATTTTAGTTCTAAATCGAAATTGTAGCAGAGAAATACAGTCATTGAATCAATATTCAATTCAAGACCCCCATTAATCATACTACAATACCAAATTTAAAACTTAAATAAGCTAAGGATCAAATTGACAATTAAGCCCATAACATTATTTTGTATATAAATGTTTTCTATATGTCTTTAGGCATGCATAGACACATTCAGAGACAAACAAACAAAACAATGAGGAAATTTTATTATTAAATGTAAGCAAGTACAATATGCAACTAAATAAGGTCTTTAGAAAACCCCATATTCGAAACATGTTCTTCGAAAATCTTAGGAGGGAGACCTTTAGTCATCGGATCCGCAAGCATGTTCTTAGTACTTATATGCTCAATACAAAGTTTATTTTCCTCAACTCGCTCACGTACGAACAAGTACTTTGTATCAAGATATAAAGCAGCGCCAGTCGAACTGTTACTGTTCGAGAAACTAACGGCAGCTGAGTTATCACAATAAAGCTTCAATGGTCGAGAGATGGAATTAACTACTTTGAGTCCAGTGATGAGGTTTCTGAGCAACATTCCATGACAGGTTGCGTTGTACAGCGC